TACACCACGCAGCAGTTAAACATACTTGACCTATCTCAGACTGTATTGCCAGCCCTCGCTTCGTTCGGGCGCAAAATTGTATTCGAGTGGTAAATAATCAGTGGCGGCGCGTGAACATTGATTGAATGTGTTCTGCTTAGAATTGTTACATTTGTTGAATTGAATTCCGGGATATTAAGTGCCTGGAATCTTTAAATGGCGCCACAGGCGAAAAATTTTAAAATTTTCAAGGTCACGCGCTTTCCTGGCACTTCTGAATTTCAAGGAACAATGCATTTATAAAAAAACAGATTATCACAAGAATGATTTTTGAAATTAATACCTTTTTGAAATATCTATTCACGAATTACCTACTGACGGTATAAATAAATTGGAATAAACTAAATATATTTTATTAAATTATTGAATATTGTTTATAAACAAAAAAATCGTTTGTGAATTTTACCAACGATTCAACGAATTTTAATTTTCCACGCCATGTTATGACTTTTTCTTTATCTTTTTTTATATATATGTACATAATATTATATTCCGGGAGTTATACATGCAAATTCGAAATCCGGGACCATACAGCTAATTCCCGGTACAATCACAGAAAATCCCGATCATACCCATGTGGTTAGATGTTCTTTTAATATGTCGTCAAGATCTACACTAAAATTTATGAGTCCACGAAACACATAGGGTTGTCCGAATTTTCTGTCTCGTCGTGTCCCCGAAGTGCTAATTCGAAAGCTCCGCAAAATTTTATGCAATCTATGATTTTAGATAATACATAACGATTTTTCGTTACCTGTTCATTGTGTTTCCGTATATTATCCCAATATGCAGAATCTAACTGACTTCTTATGTTTATTTTACCTAATGACTTAAATGACTTAAATCTTTCACACTGTATATTGTCCATGCTTTATCCCCACCGAAAAGTAAGCACGGAAAACAAAACAGTGTATTTTTTAAATCACACCCGCACACCCACTCTGCTTTTGTGTATACATTATTGTTAAATTGTCTTTTATAACTTTTATTTCGGCTTGCTCCACTAACTTCAATATTTAATCGTGGTGTTGGCCCACCTAATTCTTTTATTTTTAGTTTATCCTCATAAGGCAGAGAACCAAATAAAGTTTTTTTTTTTAAACGAAACGCAATTCATTTTAATAACTATAATATCCGTAGACGCCTAAACGAAAATATTCACACGTGCCGCTCGCAGAAATAAACCACCACATACCACGTACGAAATATTACTGCATTTACTGCAGCAGCGGCTGGCGCTGTTGCAGCCACAAAAGCCCCTATCTTCGTGTACTGGGTCACGTGCCTGATTAGCCAATAAAAACAAAGGACGCATCTAATTGTTCGTTGTGCATACATTTTGTATATAAGGTTGCATATATTAAGGAGCGTAGCTCGCGTCACAATAAATAATAATATAAGCTCCTAGATTTATTTTAGCGCGAGTACATTTGGATTCTTTAAATATTTTGTTGATATTTAATATGATTAAATACATAAAATTTTATGCGTTCTGCAGCTCCGCAGCTCTTATGGTAAAACCGTCACTGTAAATAATACTTACCTCCTTTATGGTGTAAATAACTATTGTTTATTGGCTTTAATAAAATTTACTCAGGTTTCACTAATAAATGCTTTTCTTTACTCGAATGTGAATATAACCTGAGATACTTTTTTCAAACTGATTAGTATTTCACTCACTGATTTAAAAAGAATATAATTTGATCAGGATACCATTTTACTTATTAAACATATTTTATATTAATGCATTTTTAGTAAATATGAAAATGGTACCAGAAATATGATAATTTCAGCCAATATCTCTCACCGACTTCAAATAATGTTAAAAATACGGAACAAAAGCGACTAATATGTTTTTCCTCGATATAATGCGGAGCAATTAATCTTGATTACAACGATCAATTGGGGCCGTAGAAAACGCCGACTTCTAAAAACTCTAATCTGAAACACTCGCGTATTGTTTCAGCATAAAAGAAATTCAGAAATATCGCGTTCCGCATGGATTTATCTGCTGAATCGGGGTTCATTTCAGCTTAATAGATTAATCACTTCGGGAATAAACTTGCAGTCAATCCCCCGTACAAAAGAACTACATCGGAAACTCACAAAGAAGAGTTCCAGTTGCTGGAAATTCGTCGAGGCTGAAGCTAATATTATACTCATTTTGTAATTATGTGTTATTGTTTGGAGGGTTTGGTTTTGAGGTGAGATTCAGTCTGAATCAACTAGGTTGTGGGTGGCTTGTCGCCAAGTTATTGAAAACTTTTTTTCCTCCACCAAAAAAAAATTATCCAAATGGATTTTGGAATTTTACTTAGTTCAAGATTGTGTATCAGCATCAAGAATATATTCCTCTGCGTATTTTAACAGGTGACAAAATAAACAAAAATAACTAAACCTAATAATTTTCGAAAAAAAATGATAAAAACCACCCGTACGATTTTATTGAATTTCTCGCTTGCGTAAATAACTTTAAACATGTTTTAATGTAGGTTGCCAATGAAGAAAAGTATTGTAATCTTAGACCTGGTAAGTACTCGGAATACCAAAGGTATTTTTCGAAAAATTAGCCCGGATGCATCAGTACATTTAGTGTAAATTTCGGCTATAACTACGTAACTAATTGATCAATCGATCCGTTTTTTTTAAAAAGCATCTTTCCAAGAACTTTTAAAACCTGCTTTAAAAAATTTGATTTGATTGAATATTCACAAAGTTATTCTAATTGTTTATAAGTACAAAAATTCGACCAATGTTTAAACAACCACCAGAGCTCTCCTAATTGACGCATTCGAATTTTAAAAAAAAATTTTTAAAGCTTGAGAGTCCGTCTATACGTGATTCAATTGTCAAGTATCTAAGAGCCTTGGTTTTTGCTGTCCAAAATTTTGAAAATTTGTAATTTTTTTTTCAAAATCTGGATTGCAAAATTGTTTTGCAAAATCTATCGAACCGATTTTGATGAAATTTGATGTGATAATTCTACATAACATGAAGTTTTCTTGAGCCAAGTATAAAGGTCCTATACCCAATTTAAATACCCCAAAAAAAATTCCCTAGAAAGTATTGTTTTTTATCCCCATTTTTGGGATTTTTTCGATTTTTAGCATAATAATCATGACTCATTCGATTGGTAACTAGTCGTGTTTTGTAAAAAATTTAATTACAAACATTTTTTCCTCTTCCATTTTCGTCTAAAATCAACTCTTGAAAAGATACATAATTAAGTAGGAACAAAAATATGACATTTTTCGAATTTTTTTAACATAACGTTTTTTTTTATGCGCATAGAAAAATTTTCATTTCTAGTGATATTTGAAAGCCAAAAAGCTAAAAATCTCCGTGGATATACGATTCACCCAAACCAGAACAGATACCGCCTAGTCTATCATACGCTTCCACACTCGTAAAAGGCATTTTCCTTTTTCACAAGTGCCTTTCCAACACAAATAACACTAATTTTGCACGTAGTAAGAGCTGTCACGTTTCGTTTAATATAAATTTTCAGTTGTCTATTTTCGCAGGGCAGAGCCTGCCTCGTTATGGAAACAATAATCTTTGTAAATACTCAGATATTTGGAATTAATAAAAAAAATGAAACTGTAGCTATCAAAAAAAAATCAAAATAAAGCAAGTAAGTACTTTTTTACGGCCAAGCTTGCTGTAGTTTTACAATTTAATTTTGGCTTATACTATGTCAATGTTATTTAGAGAACTAAATAAAGGAGAATGTTCTAACACAACTTCACTATTTTAGCAATAACATAAAAACAAAAAAAATATCGACCTGCGATTTGTGTATTTATTTTCTATTTCTATCAAGCCATGAAAGAAAACCTATATAGTTCCATTTAATTTTTTTAGTAAACGAAGACGATTTCAAAACCTTTCTGGTTAGCGTCGTCTACCGTTGCACAGGAAAATAATATTTTTATTCCCATATCACAAATATAAATTCTATTAATAGTTTTTTTAAATGAGCCATCGTTTAGTAAAATCGATTAAGGCATGTAGAAGTTATGACAATTTAAAAATTTCAAGATGGCGTTCTTCATACTGGCGTTGCTAAGGTAATAACAAAAAACAAAGTTCAAACAAAACTTATGAAGGATCTAACAGTGTATCTAAAAAGTGTATTTTCAACTTGGGTTATACAGGGTCTTGCGCTTAAATGTGATACAAGCCTGTCTGTAACTTCTTTATTTTTTCGTCGAATTCAAAAATTTTTATTTTGGAGTGTGAGCTGAAAAAACTATCTAACTGTGATTTGCTGTTTTTATTAATACAATTCACGGCCAACTAGGACGCGTTTTCTTGACACCAAAACAGCTGATTGGTATTAGCGATTTTTTTTCAAAAAACAGTTTACGTATTCTCATTCAGCATCCCTTAAAACGTCTTACCACCAAGTTTTATCAAAATCGATACATTTTCAGGTGAGCACTCCATGATGTCGCGAAAAGTAGTACAAGCCTGGAACTTCTTTATTTTTTGGCCGATTTCAAAGATTTTTTTAATGAATGTATGATAAAAAAAACTCTAACTAACTCCTATGAAACTCATTAAATTTTATTGCTACGCGTTTGTATATATATATATGTTCAACTGACTTCGGAAAGCCTATAAAATGAGTGTAGATAGTGAAAGCAAATATACAAAAATATCAATGTTTATTTAACAATATTACTAGAAATTTAAACTGTGAAAGTAATCATATTCATTGTACACTGTACAAACACTGTTCAATAAAAAAAAAAGTTTTGTTAACAAATAGTAGAGCCTCGATAATCCGTACTCAGGCTAATCCGAACGCCGCTGTAATCCGTATTGCCGACTGCCCCCTCTCTCTCTTATCGTCGCCGCTGATCTTATGTTTTGTTTTCAGTTGCGAATGAGTTACCTCGCGTGTTCACGTTACTCTGTGCTAAACTCGCGCGCCACGTGTTTTAGAGGTTATAAAAATGGTTCTTACACCGAAACGTAAACATAAAACTTTAACTATAGCTGAAAAGTGTGCCATACTGGATAGTTTGAAAGATGGAGTGTCTGGAACTTCTCTTGCCCTTAAGTATGGTGTTGGAAAATCGACAATTACTGATTTAAGGAAAAAAGAACAGAAAATACGGTCGTTTGTAGCTCAAACCGAGAAAGGTCCAGGTTTAAGAAAAACGCTAAAATTGCCAGAAAATCCAGTGCTCGAAGAAGCACTTTTCACTTGGTTTTTAGAGCAAAGACGAAGACACGTTCCTTTATCAGGCGAAATCGTAATGCATAAAGCCAGATTCTTTCATAAAAAACTAACAGGGTCTGATTTCAGTGCAAGTAGAGGGTGGCTGGATAATTTCAAAAAGCGTCATGGCATACGGCAGCTGAAAGTGTCAGGTGAGAAAGTCTCTAGTAATGCGGAGGCTGTTCAACCATTCCAAGAAAAGTTTTTGAAAGAGATAAGAGAAAAAGACCTTTGTCCTGAACAAATCTACAATGCAGACGAATCAGGATTGTTTTGGAAGGTTCTGCCAGATAAAACTTTAGCCTCTTCTGCTGAAACTAGTGCTTCTGGATCCAAGGTATCTAAAGAAAGAATCACTTTTATGCCTTGTGCAAACTCGATAGGGAATCATAAATTACAGTTACTAGTCGTAGGGAAGGCCAAAAAGCCAAGATCTTTTGGATCCGTAAAATTACCGGTGCATTATCAAGGACAAAGGCGTGCTTGGGTAACTAGAGATATTTTCCTGGAGTGGTTCAGAGAACATTTCGTTCCAGAAGTCAAACGTCATTTGAAGAAATTACGTCTACCACAAAGAGCATTATTGCTCCTAGATAATGCGCCCGGACATCCAGATGCTGAAGATCTGACTACAGAAGATGGCAATTTTTCCGTACTGTACATGCCACCAAACTGCACACCCTTGATTCAGCCTATGGATCAAAACGTAATTCAAAATGTCAAGATTAATTACAAGAAGAAACTGCTGATTCAAGTTTTTGCGCAACAAGAAGATGATGAAAGTTTAACACTACATGATGTTATTAAAAGCATCACAATTAAAGACGCAATTTTTTCACTAGCGCAATGTTGGGATCACGTGTCGTCGTCTCTCATCAAAAAATCTTGGAAGCTTCTATGGCCTGACCAATTCAATGAAGCAGAAAATGGATAAGAAGAAAACGATGGCTCTGAAGTGGAAGACAATCTCCCACTCAGTCTCCTACGCAACCGTGGATATACAGAAGAAACCATTTCCACTTTCTTGACAATCAGCGAAGAGGAGAATTGCACAGAACCCATAACTGATGATGAGATCATAGCCCAACTTAGGCAAGAGACTGACGAGCTTCTTGTTGATAATACTTCTGCTTTAAACGTCAAGAAAATTCCTCATTCACAAGCTATATCAGCACTGAATACTTGTTTGGATTGGGCTGACGAAAATGACTTTTCTTTATCCGAAAAGATGATGCTGCGAAATTTGAGGGACAAAGCCTTTTCTTGGTCAATAAATAGAACCCGCCAAACTAAAATTGATGACTTTATGAATAAGTAACGTATATTTTGTGGTTTAAATATGTATCTTGTAGTAGGCACCTCAATAAATATACATATTCTGTCAAAATATACTTGCCTTTTTTTTAACATACTATAATCCGAACGCCCCGCCAGTCCGAACAGGGTTTGTTTTTTGGTAGTTCGGATCATCGAGGCTCTACTGCTGTACTTGTTAATATTTAAAATATAATAAAATATTTATTTAAGTGTCTAGATAAAAATCTCTGTTTATTCCCTGTTGTTTACTACGTATTAAAAACGCAGTAAAAGCTGGGTTGCTGACCGAATAATACGGTAGGTCAAAGTTCACTCTCGATAAACCTTTGTGGGTCAGCAGTCAGAAGCGGTCCGAAATGGCGTTTAATTAATGATTTGAAAATATTTTGTTTCAGGCAAACATGTATTTTATTTTTTTTAATTGCGTATTCGTATTCTACTCATTTTTCCCTATCTTCCCCTAAATTTAATGACACTATGACTGAATCACCCTGTACATTCAAATGCCCTGAACAACAAAGAAAATTCTACAAAAAAGGAAATTTGTACCACTCTCTAGAACAATTTTCTAAACCTTTTTATTCGGTGTGTAGAAAACAACCGTGTCCATTACGGGTGGATAAAATAAGCAAACAACTGATATGATGGATATTCTACCGGTGTTTTCATAAGATATTCTCGGAATGCACCGCGCGCCGAAGAAATATTTTGGTTTCTCGAATACACAATATATTTATATTCTCCGTGGGGAAAGCGGAAACGCACGTCGTACATTGAAAAAATTTAAAGAGAAATGATACAGCGCGGATAATATATCAACGACGAATTCATATTTCTTGTTTCCGATCTCTCTCGGTTCCAGGCAAACGTATATTTTTTATAAAATCATGCCCAGATAATAATATTGTCACCGCAATCTACTACAGAAAATAATCCAGTGTTCATCTATCTCGGTAGTCCTAATAGGTGAGGAAAAACAAATTTTATTTTTAGTCAATTAAATCATTTATTTGCAATTGTTGAGGGAATTTAAAAAATCTTTGGAGTTAATAAAGCATTTATTTCAATGAAAATACTAAATAATTAGTGTTAAGTAAGAATTTAAAAAGCTACACTGAATTAAAATATTTGCTGTGCACAATTAAATATTTATTTGTGATAACATGAGAAAAATAAAAGCTTTCTACTCGTTATACAGGGTGTAACTAAATAAGTATAAAACATTTAAGGGGGTGATTCCTCATCGAAAAAAAGATAGGATCTTTCATATAAAGAAACTTCATTGGAGCATCCCTTGTTAAGATACAGCCCCTTAAAGGGGGTACATAAAATTTGTTTAACAATTTTTTTCACAAGCACTAAACAAGTTACAATATTGAAATTAACCTGACATTTTCTACTACCAAAAAGACACTTAGCCAGTAATTTATTTGGTTTACCCCATGGTAGTAAGGGGTGGAAAACGCAACCCCTAAAATTTATTTCCAACGTAATTTTTTGTCTTATTATTTTTTTACCATTTAAAAAATTATTTCCGATAGCCTGTTTCATTCTAAAAAAAAATGTCTCTTGAATTTTTTGCCCAAATTAAACCAGTTCGCAGTAAAAAATTATTTTACGAACAACTACAGAGATACATCGTCATAAATGCGGACTGGATTTACTGTTATTTTGTAGTTACTACCTGCATTAAATGATTAAAGGGGAATAATCAAAACTAATTTAATAATAACAAAACATACAACATGTAGAAATCATAGTAAATGTTCAATATGTCTACCTTCAGACATTACGCATGCGTCTAGACGTCGGCGCATTGAGCCACGTATTCGCTCAAATATTCCTGGAGTCTCTCTAATTACCCTGCACGCATCGATAATGCGGTTTCTTAAGTCCTCTACATCGCGAACAGGAGTACGATAAACCAAATGCTGCAAATGGCCCCAAGTAGACAAATCCAGAGGATTGAGATCCGGGGATCGAGCGGGCCAATTCTGTGGTCCTCCTCGACCTATCCACTGATTTGCATATGTTTCAGTTAAATGCTGACGTGCTACTTGACTAAAATGGGCGGGAGCCCCATCATGCATAAAAACCATATCCCTTCTGACGCCCAAAGGAACTTCCTCCAGCAGTACGGGGGGATGCACTTTTCTTAAAAATTGAACGTATGCCTCACCATTTAATCGAGGAGGTAGAAAATGAGGCCCAATTAAATAATCCCCAATAACTCCGACCCACACCTTAAGAGAAAACTGTTCTTGATGGTTAGTTTCGACAATAGCGTGATGGTTTTCATCAGCCCATATGTGGTAATTATGAAAATTAATAATCTTGTCCCGAGAAAAACTACATTCGTCTGTGAATTCGATCGTCTTCAGAAAGTCACGATTTCTTCTAATCATTTCCAGCATCCAATTGCAAAATTCAAGACGGTTCGGAAAGTCTCGCGGTAACAGTGCCTGTACTCGTTGCAGATGGTAAGGGTATAAGAGATGTTCCTTTAAAATTCGAAATACCGTCATATGATCAACATTTAGCTGGAAAGCAATCTTTCTAGTACTGGTAGTAGGTTGTTCTTCTATCAAATTAAGTACTGCTGCCTCAAGCTGTGGTGTTCTTACTTCTCGATGGCGACCACAATCCTGCGTTCTTTTGTTGAATGAACCATATTCACGTAATCGTTGATGAAGTCAGACAAATATTCTATGTGAAGGATGCTGCCGTTGAGGATACATTTCAGCATATCTTGTAGAAGCTTCTAACCCATTCCCCTGCGACAGACCGTAAACGTAATGCATATCAGCCATTTCCTCATTTGTGTATGCCATTTTAATAACAAGTGAATTATTAAAGTAACAAATTAAGAACAGAACAATACACAATTAGTATTACTTCAATTTCAAAAATTTACAAACTGACAGCTTGATTCCAATTTAATTGTCAGTATCGCTAATGGCGGCCTACTAGATAAATTAGTTTCGTATTTTCGTTTTATGGCGATATGTATCTTGTTCGTAAAATAATTTTTTGCTGCGAACTGGTTTAATTTGGGCAAAAAATTCAAGAGACATTTTTTTTTAGAATGAAACAGGCTATCGGAAATAAATTTTTAAATGGTAAAAAAATAATAAGACAAAAAATTACGTTGGAAATAAATTTTAGGGGTTGCGTTTTCCACCCCTTACAACCATGGGGTAAACCAAATAAATTACTGGCTAAGTGTCTTTTTGGTAGTAGAAAATGTCAGGTTAATTTCAATATTGTAACTTGTTTAGTGCTTGTGAAAAAAATTGTTAAACAAATTTTATGTACCCCCTTTAAGGGGCTGTATCTTAACAAGGGATGCTCCAATGAAGTTTCTTTATATGAAAGATCCTATCTTTTTTTCGATGAGGAATCACCCCCTTAAATGTTTTACACTTATTTAGTTACACCCTGTATAAGTACCCCCTAACTACATCATAGTCCAGTAGAATTAGAGTTTGAACGTAAAAAATTTATTAGTACTCATCGTCTTGTTGCACGAAAGAAATGACCACTAAGTTGGCAAATTGCAAATAAGTGGAAAACTTCCGTGTTTTTTCACTTTTTTTATTGCCCGTGAAAATCTAAACGATCTATCGGAAAATTAGTTAATTTATGTTGTAGGCAATTAAATTATCTACAATTTAAGGAACCTAAAGTCATACTTTACCAATTTGTTAACTGTAAAATAAAGATTGAACGCGGAAAAATCAGCTTTCGAAAGTTGCGTATTCCAAAAGCGATGGATGTTGATGAAATTTATGCAAAAGACGTCCCATCCAATGACCAGCATGTGTGTTAAAGGCCATTGGATTGACAGTGAAATTGTTGCTCCAACTATTTGTAAAATAATTCATTTGTTTTTTTTTGGTTTTTGCAACTATTTATTTAATTAAAAACGTTAATTTTAGAAGTTGGTTAATATCGTAAATGTTGGTTCTAATAGATTCAAAAAAACGTGCTTATCGAAAATGTTAACTTTTACTGCCGCTAGCGCGTTTAATGCATCAATGTAAAATTTTTTGAAAATAAAAGTTTTTAACCCTTTTTTAATTGTTTCTAAAATCCCGGTCCGATACGTCCAACAGTTAATTAACAATTAACATTATTAAAAAAACATATCTTGGGAACAAAGAGGAGTAGGTTCTTTTTTTTTGAGTGCAATAAAATAAGCTCTATTTAATGAAAAAAGAGCAAATTGCCGAGCGGCTTTTGCTTAATATCTTGGGAACAAAGAGGAATAGGCGATTTCTTTTTTTTTTGAGTACCTCTATTTAATGCAAAAAGAGCGAATTGCCGAGCGGCTTTTGTTTATAACGTTGTTTTGCACGTCCTACATTGTTAGTTGTAAAGGGGCAACTTAACTTCAACTTTTTGAATTTTCTCTTTTTCGGTACGTTTCTTTGGATCAATTAGAACCTATATCCACTATGTTAATTTCAAAATTAACGTTTAGAATTAAACAAATAGTTGCAAAAAAAAACGAACAAAATTAATTAACAAATACCTTGAGCAACAATTTCACTGTCAATCGAATCGGCCTTTGGAACACATGCTGATTACTGGATTCACCGTCTTTTCCATACATTT